AGGATGGTTGGGGGAAAAAACAGTTAAAACAAATCCAGACAATTAGTGGCGCTCTCATTCATGGCGCCAGATTACGTCCTTCAGTCTGCCCCGGGAATGGTTGAAGCTATAACCGGCTTCCGAAATTCATTCTTAAGCTCGCACGGTTTCCGTTTTGCAACGCCTTCAACGCTTGATCCGTGCAGTTGCTGGTGTTCACTGGGAATGTACGTTCTCTTGCAGGGTTTTCTTTGCGTTTCTGATTGCCAAAACTGGGAGCCAGCGGTAAACTGTTGGTTACCGGGACCTCGTAGAGTTTCCTTGCCACATACATGAATGGGATGCGGGCGCAACAATGCGCATTTCGTGCGCGCGAGGGTGTGGTTTCATGGAGGACGTGGATCAGAAGAAAGAGTGAGGAGGATAAAGAGGCGGAAGCGGCTGAGGAAGAGAAGGAGGAGGAGGAGGAGGAGGAGGAGGAGAGGAGCAGGAGGAGGAGAAGGAGGGGGGAAGAGGAGGATCACGAGCAGGAGGGGGAAGGATGGAGGGGAAGAGGGGGGACGATGATGATGATGAGGAGGAGGAGGATGGGAGAAAGAGGAGAAGAAGCATATCAGGAGAAAGAGGAGGGGGAGGAGGGGGAGGAGGAAGAGGAGGCAGAAAGAGAGAAGGTGGAATTCAATTCAGGAAACGCATCATCTCTGGTAAATAAATACAGTGCAAATCGTTTTCCAGTCGCGGCTATGGTTGCAGTCCGACTTCAGACATCTCGATACCGTCGGCGAATGTACCTGTTTACCTTCTGCTTCGACATGTGTTTTTCAGGTCCGTAGCCAGGCTACATATCGAACATAGTAGAAACGCGTATCATCATTTTTTCAACATTGGCAGAGTAGAAACAGTTGTTTCGTTCCAGCTCGTGTAGCAGACCGAGTTCAGGCATCTAGATACTTGTAACTCGCGTGTGCCATGATTACCTTCTGATTGCTGTATCGAACAGCTCTGGAGCTTATCTGCAGCTTGAGTTCATCTCTTGAAAAATTAGCAGCGTACGAATAGTTTGTTGGTCCTAGCTCTGTTAGCAGACCGAGTTCGGACATCTAGATACGTGAGACTAGCGCGTGTTTGGATTTCTTTTCGAGCGCTGTGCCGAACAGCTCTGTAGCTCATCCGCAACTCGATTTAAATTACGAAATTAAGCATCATCCCTCAACAATTAACAGAGTCTGAATAGGTTTTTGGTTCCAAATCTGGTAGCAGACCAATTTCACGCATTTGGATACTTGTAACTAGCGCTTATAATGTGACTTTCCGATTGCTGTGCCGACCAGCTCTGAAGGTTATCTGCAGCTTGGTTGTATTACGGAAATCATTCACATCTCTTGAAACTTTAGTAGAGTACGAATAGTTTGTTGGTCATAGCTCTGGTAGCAGACCGAGTTCTGACATTTGGATACTTTAGACTAGCGCGCCTGATGGTTCTACATAGATTAGGTATGCCTTTCAGTTATGTAGCTGTTCTGCAACTCGAGTTAAGTCCAGAAAACCGACAGCACCTGTCGAGATGACGCTCAACAGCCGATCCCGCCCACATGCTTTTTGACAGTAGTATCTATCTGATCGACCTGAGATTAATATGGCGAGCGGAAAAAAAAAAGATCGAATATGGGGGGGCAAAAATATTAGAGCTCTAGCGAATTTCCGAATTTCGAGAAATTGAATTGAGATTGGGCAAACAAAAACAAAATTTCCGTCGAGTTTTTCTTCGGGCCAACTAGCCCGCCAGCGCGCCGCAATACTTACTCTCTAGCTTCGCCGCTTCGCTTTTATGGAAGCTCTACGAGTCACTGGCGGGGTTCACGGTTTTCATCGCACTCCTGTTTGTCCTTTTGGTTTTTTTTTCTCTCCCCTTCCCCCTTTCCCCTCGTTCCCACTCCCCCCCTCCCTCTCCCCTTCGCTCACTTCCCCCCCCTCCCCCTTTCTTTGCTGCTGTTGTGTCCCGCCGTCGCTTCGTTGTTGTCCTGTTTGCTGCTGTCGTCCGTCGTTCCAAATCCTGCTCGCCTTCTTCTCCCCCCCGGGCCCTGTGCGCTGTGTAAAAATTGATGTTGTAAGCATTTGGTGTGTGAGGTTGCCTTCTTGTCCTGAGGTTCAAGCAAAAATATAAAACATAATACAGGATAAACAATCAAACAAGTAAAACAAAGTAGCTAACAATAACATAAACAACGATGTCTTTTCAAATGTACAGCAACAGCGAACATAAACATGGACACAATGAAAGCACAAACATCGAAATGGGGAACAAGTAAAACACATTAAACATAGAAGCGTATGAACAAGCTTGTTTTTGTATAGAAATGATCATAAAATAAAGCAGTCAACTCTGAATGATCTTGTCTTCTTATTGTGAAAATCAAAACGTTTGATCGTGTATATCATGTTGTTGCAGAGGCTGAGAGGGTCGTGTAACAAAAATGCTTTCCTCGGATGGTATGAATTCATGGGGGGAGGTCGTTTTTGTTTGTTTGTTTTTTTTGGGGGGGGGAGAAAGGGATCGGCTAGCGGCGACGACAGGGCGGCGACGCCGGTAACATAGCCAGCACACTGACCGTCAGGCCCAAACGGAGGGCCTCGACGAGGCGGCGACGGGGCGGCGACAGCGGCCTCATAGCCGCCAAACCGGCTTGTCAGGCCCAGACGACGGGTGGCGACGGGGTGGCGACGGGGCGGCGACAGCAGCAACACAGCCGCCAGACCGACCGTCAGCTGCAATGTTTTGTTCACAAGTGAGAACCCCGAAGTGCAAACATTGTTAGGGGGTATATTAATACACGTATCTACACATATATAACTTGATTCTTCGTTTCGAAATGCCACCCAGCGTGGGTTCCCAACACTCGTTTCAACATGTATGCGTGTTCCAGCTGGTGTGGTGTTACACATGCTCTACCACGTATGTGGTACAACTTGTGCAGTTTGCGTGATGTGTGAAATTTCTTCGGTCCAACATATTCTTTTCAATATCTGTGATGCAAATTCGGAGGTGAATTTGTTGTACAAGGTCGCCGTCTGATCTTGTTTCCCGACGTTCAAGGGAACGCACCCGTACTTGTATGTTTTTTGGGCGGCGCCCAATTTGCAAATTCGTTTTGGGCGTCCTTGCGCGCGCAATTTGATCGTATGCGTTTCGTGTTGCGCGCATTCGTTGTGATTGGGGTTGAGTGAGATTTGTTTTTGCGTGGTGGGGCTACGGCAGGTTGCTGATACAGCCAGGACGATCAACTGTTCAGGATTCGTGTTTTGTTTTTGCGCGACATTGGGAGGGATTGTGTGGATGTGGACTCATATCGTGGACGGTGGATGTTTTTTGTTGGTCTTCGTGTGGTGTCGGGGAGGTTGTCGCGAAGCGGAGGTTGTCGCAAAGCAGAGGTATCCACCTCCATTATTTCTCGGGAGTCCCAGTCAGGGAATGCTCCAGTAGCTGTGGATGCGTATGTTTGGTGCCCGTGCGAAACAGTTTCGTCGGGAGTCCGGAATCGGAGAGCGTTCCACGCTCGGTGGCTTATTTTTTGTTGGTTTGGACATTTGTTAACGATGCAACCCCATTTGTAGTTTTTTTCCTGGTGTGTTCGTATTGCAGCTCATAGTGTCAGTTGATTGGCCGCATTGACTTAGCAGTGAGCGCGGGCGCCTTTGTTGTGTTGTCGAACAGTCAGGAACGTTATCATAAGTGCCCGCGCGCAAGGGTGATTCCGGCAGATTCGGATGCAAGATGGACAAGGTCGAAAAGATGGGGTTCACGAGGGAGGGATGGTTCAGCAAACAATCTCTCAAGACGAGGGCTGGTACGGGTGGCCCTGCTGATTCATGATCGGTCTGCCTGTACGTAGGTTGGCGCTCATCACCTAGCATTTTTTCCGCAGGACGATTTTCGCGTTCGTTTGTGGGTCTGTCGTTCTCGTGGTCGCCGTGGTCACTTTTTCGTTTCTTATTTCGACCATTTGTTTTTGGTGTGAATTTCGGTCATGCGCCTGTTGCCCTGGCGAAGTGCCGTGGGGCTAGCGCGGATGCCACCGTGGCCTCGCTGGCAGCTCGTCTGTCTGATTGCGGGCCGCTCCTGCATTTTTCGTCCATTTCGGTTCTCTGATCTTTAACCTCTCCCTCTCTCTGTGTCTCTTTTTTTATCTCGCTCTCTCACTCTCTCCATCTCTTTCTTTCTCAGTTGCACTTCTTCTTGCTACCATGTTTTTTTCTGGTGTTGCCTATTTGTGACTCGTTTGTTTATTGTCTATGATTGCCAGTCTCATTCTCACCATCTCCTTTTTTGTGAGTATATCTAGATAGATATCCCATATCATTTCCCAGCGCCTTGGTCCTCAGATTTGCATTCGCACTCGCCGTGCCACAATCACTTTCGGCTCCTGATCTCTCTTCTCGTTTCTCTTTCTCTATCTCTTTTTATCATTCTTTACTGTATGAAATTTGGGATTTTATTTATTCAAGTCAAGTTTTTTGGGGACCCTCGCTCTCTCTGCCTGCCTCTCTCTCTTTTGTTCTCTTTTCCTCTCTGCCTTTCGCTCTCATCTACTCTCCATCATGATTTCTAGTGGTCTTTGTTCGGGATTATCTTTCATCCAAACTTTTTCTCAGTTTGGCTCCGTGACCGCTTGGTTTTGCATTTGCTGGGGCTGTGTTCGGACGGGTCCTTTTCCGTCGACGAGTTGCGAGACAGCGCACACCGTTCGTGTCATAACCGAATTCCAAACGCGGGTTACAGGGAGGGGCTCGTCGCTATTGCTGATTGATCGAGGAGCCGATCATCGTGGCAGGGTTGGGGTCACGGGCCTGCTTCGGCCGAGGGAGTGGACAGGAGATCGGGGAGGATGGCTGAGGTGGGAATGACGCGGAGCATGAGGAGGAAGAGGCAGATGAGCAGGACAAAGGAGTGGGCCCTTCTTCTCCGCCTCCGCCTTTCCCCCAACCTCCCCCCCTTCCCTCCCCTCCCTCCCTCCCTCCTCCAGCCTGGCCCCGCTGCACGCCCTGGACCTGAACGAGCTGCTGGCAGGGCTGCCGCTGGAGCAGCGGCGCAAAGCATACTCGCTCGAGCTGTTCGACGAGTTCGAGGACGATCTCGTCGAGTTGTTATGGAGTTCCCCGTCACGGCTGCAACTGTCTACTGAAATCTGGAGCCATTGAGCCGCTTGTTGAGGCCAGACTTTCGGTGCTGCCAGACCTCCCATCTGGGGCCCGAGTCTGATCATCCGGGTGTCAGCCCCAGCTCTAGTCTCGTTCCAGCTCCAGCTCCAGCTCCAGCTTCAGCTCCAGTTCCGGGTGGGCCCCTGCATCTCCAGCTTCAGCCCAGGCTCAGCTCCAGCCCAGATCCAGCCCAAATTTCAGGCCAGCTCCAGCTCCAGCCCCAGGTCCAGTGCCAGGTCCAGGCCAAGGCTCAGCTGCGACCAAGTTCCTGCCCTGGTCCAGCCCAGCTCCAGCCCAGTTTCAGCTGAAGCTTAGCTCTAGCTCTAGCTCCAGCTCCAGCTCCAGCTCAAGCCCCAGACCGAGCTTCAGGTTCAGCTCTAGCCCAGCTCAAGCTCCACCCTTGCGACCTCTCGAATCTTTTTTTTGAATGTTTATGGCTCGTATGGTTTGTCCTAAACTGTTTAGCTTTGACTTCACAACCGAAAACAATTACTCAGTTGTCACAGGACAATCGATATGTAATATCAAGTTTAACTAACCCAGTTTGGAGGTTCCAAATCTTATTGCATCTGCGAAAACTTGCGACCCACATTTTAGGAACACTGCGCGTCTTCACTCGCAGGTGTTTTCGATTTGCTTCTCTTCGTATCGGCCTACCGAGTTTCAAAAATATTGTTTTTTTTTGTCCACGTGATATTTTGGGTTCTTTGCAGGATCAGTTTTGGGCGCTTCTGAGGGGTTTCGTCAACACGGCTGGATGCACATAATGATACTAAACATGATGGACTCTGGGAGGTGTCGGTGATCGAGAAGTCAGACCCAAACTGCGGGTTTGAAATTGCTTGGCCGCAGGACATATGTTTAGCAACGGGAACGGTGAGGGAAGGAAACATCAAGGATTCGATTCCAGCGGTACGTCATCGCGCCGCTTGCGTCATGTGCTGCAGCACCGCGTGATGCCACCGCGCCATTTGCTTTACTAGCTACATGCAGCGTGGTGCCACCGTGGCGTTTGCATCATTTGTTACGCTGCGGCGTGGTGTCACCGCGTCGTTTCCATCACTTGTTATACCGCAGCGTGATGCCACCGCGCCGTTTCCATACTTTGCCCGTCTTGGGATATCCTGAGCGTCTTTGGCACGTTTTGGGGACCTTTAGGGGGCCTCTTGGGGCTGTCCTGGGCAGTCTGGGGGGGTTTTTGGAGGCCCTCATTTGGCTCCTCTGGCTTCTCTTTGGGTCCTCCAAGGCCGTCTTGGCACACTCCTCAGCCGACGGGCCAAGGGGGCGCAAACTACAAATCTTCAGGTTCCTGTGGCCTGCCTGGGGACCCTTCTGGCCTTCGCTTTGGTGTCCTGGAACTCTTGGGGTCTTCTTGGGAGCTGTCGGGTGCCTCTCGAGCCCTTCTGGATCGGGGTGGCGGCCTCGGCCTTCCCGAGCCGTCTGGGAAGCCAATCTGTGGGCCCGGGCGAGCCACAGAGCGGCGCCAGCCCGCCACGGAGCCCTCGGAAACGGGAGCGGGGCACATGCGCTACTGCGTGGGGAGAAGGGGGGCCCGAGAAGACTGTCATAGGGGGCCACATGCGAGCCCTACCCCTACCCCCCACGATTTCTGAGGGGGAGGGTGGGGTTCACTGCGCTCGGGAGCTCGCGAACGAAGTGGACCCCACCCTCCCCCTCAGAAATCGTGGGGGGTAGGGGTAGGGTTCGCATGTGGCCCCCTATGACAGGGGCCCTACCATCGAGGGAAGACGTACGATGCCCATGCCGAAGACGTCGTGGGAGCTTATCGGCGTCGATCTTGTTCACGGTCCGTGCTGGTCTTCGCCGGTTTGCGAGGATGATCCACACATTGACGATGACCGAAACGGACGATGACCAAAATCGACGGCGACGTTTTTTCGTGCTGTCTTGGTCATGGTAACCGTTTTTTTGTTCCTGCGTGCCAGACAGCACTTGGCCGTCTACCATGCCTCAACGTGCCAAGGGGCACGGTTGTATATGAGGAGGGATGAGGTGGAGGAGGAGGAGGAGGAGGAGGAGGAGGAGGAGGCGGATGAGGAGGAGGAGTAAGACGAGGAGGAGGAGGAGGAAGAGGAGGTGAAGCGGTGGCGGAGGCGTCTGCTATCGCAGCCGACGCCTCCTCTGCCCCGCCCCAGCCCGAGGAGTGGCGCCTGAAGTGCGCGCACTACGCGGTGTGCTGCGGCGCGGGGCCTGGCCTCTCGGAGGTTTGCTTTGGGGGTTGGGGGGGAGGAGGAGGAGGAGGGGGAGGAGGAGGAGGAGGAGGAGGAGGAGGAGGAGGAGGAGGAGGAAAAGGAGGACGAGGACGAGGACGAGGACGAGGAGGAGGAGGGAGACCAGTGTAAGTCCAAGGCTCATCAAAGATATTGCACTGAGCCCTCCTCCCACGCTCCCTCTTCATAGGCCTCTGCACGGAAGTGCCCCGCGGGAAGCAGGAGTTGTGCCAGAACACCATTGGAGGCACATCAACGCCGCGAATCGCTTTTACTGCTGCCTCTAGACGATCCTGAATCGTGCCAGAACGCCGTTCTTGGCTCTTTAGCACCTTGAATACAAGTGACTGTTGCGCTCTGACATTCCGACGTCGTACCCAAAACAACCTCATCTAGACGTTTATCGTGATAACCCTTGAAACTGTTGTCAATTCTCAAGACGAGTGTGCGCGGCGCTGAGGCGCGAGCCGCATTTCGGAAAGGAGCTGGCCTCCATCCGCGAAACTCTTGCACATTTTTAAGACGAGTTTGCGCGGCGCTACGGAGAGAGCCTCCTATTGAAAACTGCCCGCCCTCCATGCGTGAAGCTTTTGCACGTTTTCAAGATGAATGCGCGTGGCGCTAAGGCGATATCCACATATTGAGAACGGGCCGCCCTCAATCCATGAAGACATGGTATTTTTCTACACATCCAACGTGGGGTGTTTGTTTTCTTTGCACTCCTCTGCGCAGTATCTCTCTGCACCCCTTTCTTCGTCCTTATCACCATCACCATCACATTTGTCATCCCACTCGCCATAGGCATCACTACCACCATCCCCTCAGGATCATCAACCATCATCATCATTCACCCACTCAGTCACATTCAGTCATCATCCGCTCACTCATTAACATGTTATGATCATGGTATGATCATCGCTCATTATTATCATCGCCATCACTAACACCATCGCACACCACCATCCTCATCATTGTCACCATCCCATCATGACCAAGGCGGAGCCTCGTTTGTGAGTGAAGTGCGAGGAAGTCGCAGGCGGGAGCCCCATCACTATGGGGCTCGCAGCTCATGTTACCACTCCGAACCAGTCATCGGAATCTTGTAATTGTCGTCGCTGTCGGCTTCTTTGAGTTTGCGTATGGAGGAAATCTCAGGCAGGAGCCTCGTTTGTGAGTGAATTGTGGCGAGGAAGTCGCAGGCGGGAGCCTCCTCCCTATTGGATCCGCAGCTCGTGTTATTACTCTGTGCGGGTCATCGGAGCCTCTTGTAGCTGTCGTGATTTCCGGCCTCTTCAAGCTTTCGTATGGAGGAAGTCTCAGGCGGGAGCCTGGTTGGTGAGCGATTTGTGAGGAAGGCTCAGGCGGGAGCTCCCTCCTTATTGGGCCCGCAGCTCATTTTACTAATCTGAGCGGGTCATCGGAATCCAAAGGATGGGGTTCTTGTTTTTCTCCATATCCAGAGGATGGGATTCTTGTTATTACTCCGACCTCGCCGACTCCTCCTTCATCTCACCTTTTTTTCGTTTCTGATGATGGTGATGGTGATGATGACGACGATGATGATGATGATGGTGATGATGATGCTGATGAGTAGCATGGTGGTGTTGTTCTCCATATCCAAATGATGGGGTTCTTGTGCCCCATATCCGAAGTTATGGGGTTCTTGTTATTCCCCCATATCCAAAGGATGGGGCTCTTGTTATTCCCCATTTCCGAAGGATGGGGTCCTTTTTTTCCCATATCCAAATGATGGGGTTGTTTAGTCTGTTATGTTGGTAGACTGCAGGTTAAGCGTAGGGAAGTGGGGGCTTTGCCTTAGCCATTTTGGGTCCGTAGTCGTTGGCTCGAGATCGAGCCAGGACTCGGGGGTCCCGGGGGGCCGCGGGGCGGCCAAAACCGCAGCGTCCTGCACCGCCAGCTCTGGGGAGCGGGTGTGCGGACGCGGCCGGCGCTACCAGCCTCGCGGCGGGTGTGCGGGCCAGCGGTGCCATGGCCGTGGGCTTCCTCGGGGCGCATGCCGTGATCTTGGCGGTTGGTGGGGCGTTCTCGGCCCAAGGGGCGATGGGTTGGTGGCTTCTTGGCCGCGCGGGGGACGCAATGTCCCCAGCGCCGGCGCCGCCATCTCAGCCCGGGCCGAAACTCCGGCCCGCGGGCGGCGGAGGGCATGGCAAGGGGCGAGCTCCGCCCGCCAAGCCTGCGCCTGCGGGAAGGAAGGGGCGAGGGCCGCCGGCCAAACCTCCTGGGGTCACCATTACCACAACCCCGACGACGACTACGACGTCGACGACTACGACGACATCTTCGCAGCCCGGCCCGAGCCGCGAGCGCGGGGGCGAACCCGCAGTTAGCCCAGCCGCGGCCTGGCCCGCAGGCCCCATTTCCACTACGACTGGCGTCGGCCGCGCGCGCGGGAGCGGACCTTCGGGTAGCCCAGCCGCGGCCGAGCCAGCGGGCGGGTCGGGTGCCCAGGGCGGTCCCAGTAGGGAAGAGCCACGCACCCCGCCCACGCATCCTGGGAGACCCGGCGAGGCATCAGGCCAGCCGACGGGGTCCCTGAGCACTTACGGGCCCGGCGAGGCAGCGCCGAGCTTCGACCCGCTGCGCTTCAGCTGGCTGGTTGCTGGCTGGTTGGCCTGCTGCGCGTTGGGCGCAGAGTTCCGACATCGCCGCATGGAGGCTGAGCTGGCCGAGAAAGGCACCAACCTGCAGCTTTGGGCGACCGAGGCACTCGACGCCGGGGAGAACCTGGCCGAGGCCCGGTCGCGGTGCACTGCTCTGGAGGCCGAGCGGTCTCGTGCCGCCGAGGGAGCCGAAGCGTGGCGCCAGGCTTACGAAGAGGAGGCGACTCGCCGGCAGGAGACGGCACGGCGACAGAGGATGGCCGAGAGGCTCGCCCAAGGGAAGAGCCAGGCGCGCGAGTACGAGCGGGCGCGCAGATTCCGTGCCGAGGAGGCCTTGGCGGGGAGCCGCGCGGACGTCGACGTCGACAACTTGTGGGCGTGGATCGACGGCCTGTTGGCATGGATCGACCGCCTGACGACGAACCTCGAGCTGGGGGCCACGATCGCCGAGAACCTGCGGGCCCGCGTCGACGAGCTCGAGGCTGCCGCAGAGACGGGGGGCGAGGCAGGAGTAGGCACCGCGGACTTTGTCACGGAGCCACGCGCCGCTGGGGACGATGAGACCGAGCGGGCGGTCCCGCCGCCCTCGCGCGAGCCCGGCGGGGTCGCTCCGACCGAAGGGGCCGGCGGCAGAGGAGGAAGAGGAGTGGGCGGCGGAGGCGAAGGGGCGGCGAGGGAGGAGGTCTTTCCGAGAGCGAGGATGAGGAGGCGGAGGAGGATGAGGAGGACCACTATCCAGGGGGAGCTCATTCCCGAGGAGCCCGAGGAGACCAGCCTCGGGGAGCATCGCGCCCTGGGCGACTCCGCGGCTGCCTCGGGCCGGGCGCCGGGAGCGGGCGACGATGGCGACGACGATGCGGGGGTGCTGGGAGGGTCAGAGGCCAAACTGGTCCGCGCCCACGAGGACGTCCACGGCGCCCGGTTGCCGGCGGGTTGCTGGGGCTCCGTTGGTGCCAGCGCCCGCGCCGTCGCCGAGGCCCGCGCCGGTGCCAGCATCGGCGCCCGTGCCCCCGCCGACTCTGACACCAGGGAGTACCGCAACGGGGGGGCGCGCATGGGGTCGTGGACAGGCGCGGACGTGGAGCTCGGCGCTGTGCACCTGGGCGACGCCGGCGCCGACGACCGCACCGACACCTACGCCTCCGCCGTCGCCCGCGCTGGCCCCATCGCCTGCGCCCGCGCCCGCGCCGACGCCGACGCCATTTGCGACGCGCCCGCTGACGCCGGCGGCCGCGACTTCGACGCCTCCGCCGGCACCAGCACTTTCGCCGCCGCCGCCGCGACCGGCGACGCCGATGCCGGAGCTGGCGCATATCGCAACGCGGCGCCTCCGCCGCCGGCTCCGGATCTTTGGCGCGGCGCTGGCCCCGAGCTGAAAGCGCGGCTGCGCCGGCGCGCCCTGCCCCTTGAGGGGGCCGGAGGCGCGCTCGCGGGGCACCGCTCTGAGCGGGCAACTGCGGAGGCGGCGGGGCGGGCGCTACCGGAGGCCAAGCAGGAGGGCCCCGTTCCCAGCATTGACGCCACCACCGTCGTCGACCCCGCCGTCACCGCCTGCGCCATCGTCAGCGCCGACGCCAATGCCGACGCTGACATCGACGCCGATACACGGGCTGGCACCGGGGCCGCCTCCTGCGACGCTAGCGCCGACGCCCCCAATGTCTCCGCCTCCGCCGCCTACAACGCCAGCGACGACACCAGCGCGGGCGCCTGCGCCGAGGCCGCCGCCGAGCCCGACGCCGGCGATCGCGCCCCTGGCTCCGACGCCTATGAGGGCGTTGCCGCTTCCGCGGCCGCCAGCGCAGGCGCCAGCGCCCACGCTCCCAACGTCACCGACGACGCCGGCGTCAACGCCCTCGGTTGCGAGGCCCGCGTGGGCGCCGCCGCACACCCGGCGGCGAGCGCAGGCGCCAGCACCGACGCTATCGCCCTCACCCGCTCGGAGGCCGGCGAGGTCTGGGCCGTGCGTTGGTCCAGACCTGGCGCCAGGAGCTCCGACGTGGGACTCGGCACCCGCACCGACGCCAGCGTTGAGGTCGGCTCCAGCATCACGGCCTACGCCAACGTCAGCGCCAGCACCGACGTCCGCGCCAACGCCGACGCCTCCGATGCCGATGCAGGCGCTACCGCCACCGCGACCGCCAACGCCGCGACCGGCGCCGACGCTTGCACCACCGCCAGCTCCGACACCGGCGCCTTTGCCAGCACGGACGACGAGGTCTGGGACTTAGAGTGGCTCCGGCTCGGCGCTGACGCGGGCCCCGCTACCGGCATCGGCGTCAACGCAGACGACGTCAGCGGCGTCACCGCCTACGCCGAAACCAACGCCGCCGCCGACCCCAGCGGCGGCCCCGACGACGCCGCGACGGTCGGCGT